GAGTCCCGTGTGCCTCACACACTCGTGGAGTAGGGAGCTGGGGTCCTCAAGGTGGAAGCAGTGCTGAGCCGCGGCCACCTCTCCACACTCTGTCTGAGCCAGATGGCCTGCCTTTGCCCACACCCTGGCTCCGTAAACCTCTCCTGGACCCCCAGTTCTACTAATTAGAAAACACTCTAGTCTATCCAAATTCCCCCCGGAACGAGGCCGCTCAGCAGTCTGGCCACTTGACTAAGGCTCAGCCCAGGAGTCTTATTAACTCAAATGGGGGAGGCAACTCAAGGGGTGGGGGCCTATGTGGCAATCAGGCTTAGCCACGGGCAGCAAGCGTCCCTGGTAGGCGGGCAGGCGGGGCAGCCACCCACATGCCCTCCCAAGGTCCTCTGGCACTTACCAAAGACCACAGTCTGTCAGCCCTGCGGGCTGTCCCTCTCAGCTGCAGTCGTAGCTGAAGCGCAGGGCCAGCCCCACCAGGCCCCAAGGCCATCCTGACCCGTACAAGAGAGGAACAGTGCCCTTGCCTTGCAAACAGCTGAGAAACCAAGATAGCCCGGTCCCCAGTCCAGATTCTCACATGCCAGGGGAGCCCTGGGCTCCCATCCCCATGCCCTTCCCAGAGGAACAACCAGAAAAGAACTGCTGATATCTCTGACTTGTCTACTGTGTGGCCATAGGCACTGTGCCAAGGGCTTTCTTTTTTGTATCTCATTTAATTCTCAGAACAAGATTAGGAGGCAATTTGATTATCCCAAGGTCAATTTTATTATCAAGGTCACACAGCTGCTAATGAATCCAGGAGTAAAACNCAGACACACCTCCCTCCCCAGGGCCTTACGCTGGCTGTTCCCTCTGCCTGGAATCCACATGGCTCAGTCACCTCCTTCAAGTCTTTGCTCAAACTTTTAGCTCCTCTGTACTCCTGATCCTCCTTATTCTGCTCAATTTTTCCCCCCTTATCACTTACTTTGTAAAATATCACAAGGGCAGGGGCTTCTCTGATGTCCTCGGTGCCTAGAACACTGCTTGGCATGCAGCAGGTGCTAGAAAAATACTTACTAGAAAACAACGAAGGAAGGGCTTTTCAAGGTGGAATTAACTAGAGCCTGTGCAAATGCTGGGGAGGTGTCCAGAACAGGACTCTGGAGCGAGGTTGCTGGAGACGTGGACCTGGAGTCATGGGCAGATGGGCTGAATCTGTGGGGCACTGGGTGGACTGATGGCCCTGCCATAGGCTACCTGCCCTGGCTGTCCCCCCATGCCCTTACCATAGGCTCCCTCAAAGGCAGGGTCAAGTGATGACCAGAGAACCCCATCGTCTCGGCTTTGGGAATGTGTGGGTACAACCACCACGTAGGGATCAGCTGTAGGAAGGCTCTCCTTACATTTCACCCACCTCCCCTGCAGTCACTTGGGGAAGCTGCTCCCAAGAGCACATTTAGAATCTCACCTGGTCTCAGTTTTGTAATCCAAGGGCTCAGTGAGAGTCTGGAGTAGTTTCTGCCTTGTCATCAGTTAAGCTCTACTGAAAAATCATGGCCATGAAAATCAATAGTGTCCCTGACTGTGTGCAACAACTACTTAGAAAATGCAATGTAAAAAAGATCCCATTCACAATGGATATAAAATACTGGGAATGAATTTAATAAACAGTGTGGGGACCTGTATGAAGGAAAGGAAAAATCTTCACTGACGAGAAATACCTAGGATTTAAGTGGGTATAGAGACACAGTACATTCACTGTCAGAAAGACCTAATACTGTCAAGTGTATAGTTCATCTCTGTGTTAGTAAGCCTCCAAGATGTCTCCCATGATCCCTGCCTCCTGGTGTTCATGACCTTGTGTGGCCCCTCTCACTCATATCAGATTTGGTCTGTGCGATCAATAGAATATGCCAGAAGTGATGATCTGTCACTTTGTGATTAGGTGATAAAAGATATTTCTTTTTTCCATTTGCGTTCTCTCGCTCTCTCACTCTTTCTCTTCCTCTCATCACTCACTCTGGGGAGACCCGCATGGTGAGGAACTGAAGCCTCCTGCCAACAGTCACGTGAGTGAGGTTGGCAGAGGATCTGGTCAGGTGAGGCTGCAGCCCTGGCTAACAGTTTCACTGAGACAATGAAAAGGAAAAGCCTGTGACCTAGAAACCTTGCTAGGTTTGGATATGCACATTTGGGAGGCCAAGCTGGGGTGAGCTGAGCTGCTCCTTGAAACACAGGGAAGGAGTTAAGGTTCCTGAGCACAGAGATGGAAGCAGAAGAAGCGAGGGAGACAGCCACACAACCTGCGGCTGTGGACCACCCTGCCCCAAGTCTTTTTTTATATTTTTGAGGTAACATTGATTTGTAACATAAGTCTCAGATATGCAATATTATAATTAAGTATCTGTATATACTATGTTATGTGCTCACTACTAAAAGTCTAGTTTCCATCCTTCCCCATACAATGGATCTCCTTTACCCATGTTGCCCTCCCTCCACCCCTCTTCCCCTCTGGTAACCACCAATCTGTTGTCCGCCTGTATGAATTTGTTTTTTTGTCTGTTTGTTTTTGTTTCATATTCCACATGTAATTGAAATCATATGGTATTTGTCTTTTTCTATCTCACTTAGCATAATTCCCTCAAGATCTATCCATGTTGTTGCAAATGGTAGGATTTCACCTTTTTATGACTAAGTAATATTTCATTTTATATATATGTATCACATCTTCTTTATCCACTCATCCATCAATGGACACTTAGCATGCTTTCATATCTCGACTATTGTAAATAATGCTGCAATGAACATAGGGGTACNAAAGTCTGTGTCCAAGTCCTCATGACCCCCCACCTCTGCCCCCAAAGCCCTCTTGGCCTTGCAGAGAAGTGCTGTCCAGACCAGGACCTCCAGTACTGGGTGGGGCTGAGCTCCTTGGGGGGCATATCATGCTCTCACCCACAGGCTGTCAAACAAAACACAGGCACCCAAATGTAGGTCTAGAAGTGGAGGTCAGCACTCTGGCTTTCCTTAAATACCTGTCACCTGCCACAGAGACCAAGTATCAGGACAGTCTTCGGGAAAACACCTCCTCTCAGGTTTGCCCTTGCTGTGGATTTGCTCAGCAGGAGCCAATCAGAGATTCAGAATTCAGGGCTGGCAGGAACCAAACCTCCTGTTTTATTTGCAGCGACAGGATCTGGGGCAAGGCTTCCAGAATTTCAACCCTAGCCTTCCAAATCCTTGACAGTAACTTACCTTTCTCCTAGTCTCAGCTTTGAAGCACAACAACAGCTTCCTCGGAGCTTTTCTGGTGACTAAAGGAGTTGATTTTACCGTTAGGTATTCTGAGCTCTTCCTATGTTCCAAAAGCTCTGGATCCATTCATTTTTGTTACTCATGTGGGGAAACCAAGCCCAGGGTTCTCATGCACCAGCGCAGATGGTTTTCCTGCCTGGCCCCCAGCTGCCCTGCGGGCAGTGGGAGACCCCGGGGACGGGTGAGCCAGGCAGTGGCAGGTGCAGCCGAGGCAGGACAAGGAGGGCGGAAGAGAGTCAGGGATCTGGTGTGCCTGCGAGGAGGGTCTAGAGCAGCGGTTCTCAACCTTTCACAGCGGTCACCTAAGACCATCGGAAAACACATTATTTTCGATGCTTAGGAACCGAGACACCGCTCCTCTATCCATTTCCAGGCCCACATGCAGATACGCCCACGTACGAGTACCCAGCGACCCCTGTGAAAGGGTCGTTCGACCCCCAAAGGGGCCGCAACCCACAGGTTGAGAACCGCTGGTCTAAAGTGTCAGGTACTGAAAAGGCCAAGAAAGGCCTGAGTGTGGGGATGGAGGTGAGCAGCTTTCAGTCAAGTGAGGAAAGTGGTGGGTTGTGGTGAGGAGGGGTACAAAGAGCCCAGACAAGAAGCTTCCTGGGAAAGAAAGGGGGGGAACGCAAGAGGGCCAAGGCGAGCTTTTGCGGATGGGGATATATGTGTGATGGGGTGAAAGGGAGAGGAGGTGGGAAAAATAATACAGCAAAGCCCTGGGAGGTGATGAGCAGGAGGGCACAGGAAAGATAAGACCCTAAAACTTTAAAGTGTGTATGGGGGACTAAGGAGGCGTTGCAGAGGTCCCACACTGGCCTCCATTCCAGTCCGAGAGAACAGTGGGTAGGTGGGAATTCGGGGTAAGCTGGATGGGGAGTGACCAACCGCAGGGCAGCACTGAGCTCTGTGCAGAGAGAGCCCATGTTTGTTGGAGAACCCCATGTACACACCCCTTATCCTAGGCTTCTTTTCTATCTTCAACCAACTACTCAGTCAGATGACATGGCTAAAAATGGCCCCAACGTTGTATAAACCAATTAGAAAACAAACCCAACTGAACACGTCACGGCCAGACTCTATCCCGCACTGGCTGTGACCTGTGAAGAGACTTACACCGGGTCTGTCCACCAGGTCTTCCTGAACACAGGGACAGCAGGGGCCGTCCAGGAGCCGCTGGTGCCCACACACTGGCGGGGAGGGCCTGGGGCCACCAACTCCCCCAAGGCAGGCTGGGGCAGAGGTTCTTGACAAGGTGGGCACTGCCACTAACCCCCACCACAGACAGGCCAGCAGGTCCAGGGCACACAGCTCATGCAGCGGCCCAGATGCCCACCCAGTGCGGCCAAGCTCCTCTGCCTGCATCTTACTGCCTGGGGCTAGACAGAGAGAACCTAAAATCACGTTTCCTCCAGACCTGCGAAGTCAAAGTCCTGTTACCCCGTGCTTCCAGCTGGGCAGAGCTAAGCCACAACCCAGGTCGAGCTAGTTGGAACCTCCATACAAAGGATAATTGAAAGTGGCTCACAGAATCTAAAAATCACTTGATAAAATTTATTTCAGATTGTGCCAACAAAAGATGGCCTTCACTCTTCCCTCCTGTCGTGTCTAGCCACACCCTATCCCACTGGTTCCCTTGGCAGCTGAGGTTGCCACTGAGATGCTTAATGCTATCTTGACATGACCCAAAACAAAAACCACCAAAACAACAGTATTAATATAAAGATATATTCCATAAAAGAGTTTGGCAGTCAAAGAAAAGCATCACACTTCCTAAAAACACAACCATTCTTCTTCCCCTTGTTTACAGAGAAAATTGTGTAAAAAAAAAAAAAAAAATTATAACACCATCAACAAACACCTACCATATATATACCACACTAGCATGAACACTTCGGCAAGTCAGTGAAGGTAGCTCTCAATCCCTGAACAATGAGGACAGAACTGGTACAAGATCCCGAGAAGTGTTAGAAAGTAGCCCAAAGATGCCCAGATGCCCAGCTATCCCTGGGGCTGAGGGGTTCAGTACAGAAGCCAGACTTCATTTCCAAGAGCAATCCCAGAGTAGCCCTGATAGGAGGGGTGGACACGGTGACCACAGATATCCTGGTCGGGGAAGGGGAGTCACCTTCAAAGTTAGCAACAAAGTCCCGAGCTTCCCCGCAACTCCAGGCCGGGGATTGTGGCTCGACACAAGGGCCTGGCCAGAGCTTCTCTCCAGGGACACTGGGCAACGCCAGGCCAGCCAGTGGCCCTTAGCATGTGGCCTCGAGGGGAGCCTTGGCCAAAGGTTTCAAGCTAGCCGTCTCTGGCTGGGGCCCCTTGGCCTCACAGTCGGGGGAGAGTCAGGATTCAAGTTCCAGGTGACAGTTTCAGTAGCACCAACACCAGAAGACAGTGAGGCCAAGCTGGGGAGGGCAGTGCATGGGTGTGCGCCGGGAGTGCAGAGGAAGGGAAGCACATAAGTGCACCTGGGCCGTCAGGGCCTGAGAAGAGAAGCTGTGGGGGCTGGTCTGAAGACGCTCAAGGGAAGGGAAAGGGGTGTCTTCAGTCCAGACACTGAGTAAGGCTGCTTAGAGGAGAATGCCAGAGGAAATGGAGAGATGGTGTGAGAACATTCTTACCCCTATAAATAAACTATTTACATCCTTTAAGAAAAGGAGAGCCCACTCTGAGGAGAACCAGGCCCACGGTCCCCCTCACGCCCTCGGGGCATAATGCTGAGAGACCAGAAGCAGTCCTCCGCCGGGAGGGCAGCAGACCAGGCACTCCTCGGCAGCAATCCACGCACTGGCTCAGGCTTACTTCACTTGGATCCGGCTGAGGATCTGGCAAACACCCCGACTCTTGCAGACGCCACAGGCCCCCCAGCCTCAGAGATCTGCTTGTTCCTCTCCCCTCCCCAAACACAAGCAGTGGCCCTGTGCTGCTGGGAGCCTTGTCCACGCCTGCGGGTCCCCTTCTCATGTCCCACTCAAGAAGAAATGGCTGCTCTCCAGACCAGCATCGATGATGAGTGCTGAGGAGGCCAGGGTGCTCTGCAGACACATTTGGGTCCCAGGAAGACTGAGTCAAACCCCACTCGCAGCCACAGGAGCCGTCTGTCCCTCAGTCACCGCCCCACCTAAAAACATATTCTGTCTGTGGGTGGACTCCAGCAGGGGTCTTGGTCACAAGATCCTGGAGGTGAGGGGGCCCTCAGTCTTCAGCACCAGCCAGCAGGATTAAAGAGGTCACGTCACGCTGATGCTGAAGACGGGGTGCTGGCTCTGGCTGGGGGCATCCACTTCTCTCCCTCTGGACGTAAAGTTGACGACAGTGAAGGGTTCTGGCCTCCACGGTGTGGCTCAGCTCCGCTCGCTCCGCTCTGCTCCTCAGAAGTGATGGCCGGCCTTCACCGCTTCGATGTCCGAGATTAAGGTCCTCGCCAGGAAGATGCCAAATATCTGAAACCAAAGCCAGCCGAGGTCATGGCTGTCAGTGCTGGGACACAAAGGGAGGGCGCAGGCTCAGAGGACAACGGTAAGGGGTGGCCAGCCATGCACACCACTCCCACACCCAACCCGCAGACTGAGGACGTACCAAGGGCAACCACTGGGCTCGTGGCCAAACAAGACCAACCCACCAGTAAAAAGTGAGTCCTGGGGGCTCTATTTTGCTGTATATGTAAAGCCTTGAAAGGGCAAACAGCAGGCACCACAGAAGCAAAGGGATGCTGCCCTGCCTCCAACACAATGCACGTCACATACCACGGGCAAGGACATACTGTGTGTCCGGGGTTAAACCGAAAATAACAGGTCCCTCTGACTGCTTCTGAGTCCCAAAATAATAAACCTCGAATGTTTCCTGTAAGCCCAGGTTCCATAATAAAACCAAGGTTGTCCACGATTCTGACTGTGCTGGTATCTGAAGCTACATTCGGACCTTGGTGACTGGATAATCACATGAGAAGACTGATGGTTTTCTACCAGAAACAGACAAATGTGAACTCGCTCACCTCAGGAATTTTGGGGATTTTTCCCCCCCTTTAAATTCTTATTGTGGTTTGTACTTGATGAGCGAGATCTTCTGAAATCTTACTCCACTTCTCAAGTAAATCTTTTCCCTTCCTTTTCTAGATGCTGCTTTCTGCCTCTCAGCCTTCCTTTGAGATCACTCGACACATTTGCTGAGTGAAGGGGAAAGGAGCACGTGGACGGTTGACTGGCAGTTCCAGGTCCACCTTCCACAGCGCAGCAGCACTGCCTGTCTCAGGGGCTCCCTAGGGGCTGCCAGCTTCTCCCCAGGAGCTCTGGGCACACTGGAAAAACAGCCGGTTCTCTGACTCACTGAGTTCTTGACTTTTTCCTGCCAGTTCTCCTCGCAGACACTAGCCAGCCTACTCACCCCAGCCCTCACTGCCCCCCTGGTCACCACCGTCTTTCTACATGTGAGAGAAACCTGGTTAAACTGAACAGCCCGCAAGGGGAAAGGAAACCACAAGGGCAGTGGGACCAGACCGACCTGGAGCAGTGAGATGGCGATGAAGACGCCAGCCACGATGTAGATATTCCGCGGGAGCCAGCCCTCCAGCGCTGGGATGCAGCCTTTTGTGAAGATGACCTCTTCCCACTTGCTCTTCACCTGCAGAAAAGCACGACAGTAGCCTGAGCCCAGGACATTCAGACCACCTCCACCCGGCAGAGGGCTCCTGCGCGGGGAGGGCAAAGCTCGGTGGGAACCAGGGATCAGGGAGGCAGGTGCCAAGGACAGACAGAGCTCCCTGTGGGACCATCCACGCGTCCTGGTCTCTGTCCCTATACTGGCTAGTGTGCACCGATAACCTGCCTAACCATTGGTTCCCTGGCCATGACCTTTAACCCATTTCTGTTTGGGCCTCCACAGATTTAAAGATCGATTTAAAGATCAACTTGTGCAACACGCCTCCACAGCCCACATCTGGAGAAAGGGGAGGGGGCTTGAATGCTTGGAGAAGGAAAATGTACCTTTAAAGAGAGGAACTGGGAGAAGGGAGTTCAGCGTCTTCCAGTGGCTTCTCAGTGTATCTCTCAATCCAAGTAAGCTTGGCTCTGGGAGCCAGCGCCAACAGGGATAGTCACAAGTTAATCAGTTCCCTCTAATCCCAATCCCTAGAGGAGACTCAGCAAGCACACGGAGATCTGGCCACAGCTCACACAGCCCACCCTCACCCTCAATCAGCCTCATCTCTGGCAACACTGACGGAGCATTAGTTCATTTTAGTGGTATTACGAGCTGAATTGTGTCCCCCTAAAAGTCATATATTTAAGTCCTAACTCCCCATACGTCAGAATGTGGCTGCATTTGGAGATACGGTGTTTAAAGAGGTGCATAAATGAAAATGGGGTCATCGGGGTGGGCCCTAATCCACAATGACGGGTGTCCTGATAAGAAGAGGACACCAACAGAGGGGAGAGCACGTGAGGACACAGGGAAGAGAAGGCAGGCATTTACAAGACAAGCAAAGAGGCCTCAGCCCTTGATCTTGGGCTTCTAACCTCCAAAACACCGAGAACGCAAATTTCTGTAACTTAAGCCACACAGTTTGTGGTACTTTGTCAGGACAGCCCTACAATGCATACAAGTGGCCATGAAGTTCATAGCTGGAGAAGCTGCTGTTGGCATGGGCCCATCCCTGGGAAATGGAGGTGACTGCAGAAGGATGAGGTTTCCCAAACTGGAGGTGCACGACCCCGGTGTCCATGGCCAACAGGAGCTTAAGCTCCCCGAGATCCCTCCCCTTCAGCACAGTCGTTCATATCACTAAAGGTCACCAGAGCAAGGGCCGGGTGAGGACTCGCTTCCATTCACGTCCAAGGGCACGCTCTGTGGCCTGAGAGCCCCCGAGGACTGACCCGCTCCTCCCGACACCCGTCTCCCTCCTTGCTGTCACCACTGCCTCCATATGGCAGGTGGACCAAGGCACAAGCTCTGGCAGCCTCATCCTGGACCCCTGTATAATAAACATGTTCTGGAGCTCCAAGGAACCTCTTAAAAACGTAGTCTTTGTTCCCCAAAACGTTCATCTGACCTCTCTCCACTAAGGTAGCAACTGCAAGGTTGTGTGGGCTTGAAATCACATGCGTTCCTGGTCCCGTCTGCTGCCAGCTCAGGCAGGAAGCGTGAGTGGCGGTGTGCTGCTGCTCACCGTGCTCCAGCTCAGACGGCACCTTTCAGCTTCCTCTCCCCTCGTCCCCCCACTCCAATCTGCACTTACGCTAACTTGAGAAGTTGGACCTCAGGGAATAAGCCTGAAGAACTGAAAGTGACATGCACTGGACTCTCACCTGATTCCTTACATCATATCCGCACTGTGTGTTCACAACTTTTTGCTATAAGAAAAGCAGAAAAAAATTATAGTCATTTCATTCCCTTGAGAAGCCAGTGGTACGAGTCTCTAGAAAAGTCACAACCAAACACCAGCAAAGGCCTGTACAAATTCCACTGTAGCTCACAACCTTTAATCACGCTGCCAACAAACCTCTCATGCTAGGATGGGGTCAGCACAGCATGGTTTCTGTGTGAGGGGCTAGATGGTAAATAGTTCAGACTCATCTATGTCGCAACTACGCGGCTGTCTGCTGTAGCAGCATGACAGCGGCCAGTGATGACATGGAAACACCCGGGCACGGCTATATTACAATAAAACTTGCTATGGACACTGAAAATTGCATTTCATATAATTTTCACGTGCCACAAAATATTGTCTTTCTTTTATTGTCAACCATTTAAAAATGGCTGAAACCATTCCAGGCTCAAAGGTCACACAAAAACGGGCAGCAGGCCAGATCTGCCCATGGGTCAGAGTTTGCCAATCCATGTGCTGGGAAGTAAGTTACCCTTGCTCAGTATTTCACAGTCACAGCGGAGACCTCAGACACCAGCTGTGCAACTTCAGCAAACCCGAGCCTCCCCAGCCTGGAAACTGGCCCATGCAACAGGGACCAGGCAGGCTGCCCAGAGCCCTCTGCCCAGCAGCAGACTCAGTTAACGGCTCCAGGTTCTGCTCAGGCAAACGTGCAGTGCTCCTTCACAGATCACCCCAAGAGCTCAGTTTCTGGAGCCCAAGGACCTGGCTGTGTGTGGACTGGGAATGCAAACAGGTGAGGAAGAATTCTCCACCACCCCTAGGTGGCGACGTAGCCCCACTGCCCTTGTGGGCTTCTAAGAACTGGGCGTTTTCTCCAGAGAAAGGAGAGTGAAGCAGGCAGACCAAGGCTCGCTGCATTCATAGTATCGTATCCAGACACCCGAGTGAGAGCCCCTCGAAGGAGAGATAAGACTGTTTTTCTCCTGCTTCACCCAAAACATGAGAGCCAGGGTGGGCGATGCAGAAATGTTCCTGGAATTTGTCTGTGTGGGATTTCAGAGCTGCAGGAGCCCTGGGGTGGTGCATGGGGGCTGGGCACTCATTCCATCTGCAGAAGAGAAGCAGCCCGGGGCCCTCACAGTCATAACTGCTCCACTCCAGGGGGGCCACGTGCTCCACGTGCCAGGCACAGGCCACTCACCGCGGGGTCCGGTACACAGCAGGAGAAGGGTACCCCGCACTTCTCGCGGCTGTAACTGGCACCACTGCAATTGAAGTAGACATTGAGGTCCCAGTCTTCAGGGCCATATGCCCCACAGCACAAGTTCTGCAATCAGAAAAGCCGAGAACCATCAGGGTTTCGAAGCCAGGGCTGTGGCCGCCCAGCACAAGGTGTCAGTCCTGGGGATGCGACGTTAGGTGTGCCTCCATCTATATCACACAGAAAAATGGGGGCCTGCCCCACTGACCTCACCGTATGCACAGAGATGCTGAGCACTGTGTCAGGGGGCCCTTTACAAAGGAAACTGCGGCCATGACACCTGCCGGGTCCAGCACACAGGGCTGGCTGGCCCCACGGCCCTCCGGCCTCGGCACAGAGGCTCAGCTCTATCCCTCCTCAGCCTGGAGCCTGGCCTTCCCTCCATCCCTGAGCCCAGAGCGGGTGTCTTGCTGTCCCCGGAGGCCCCTCGGCACCTCCAATGTGGTCCGCTACTACACCCAGGAGAACATCTCGTGGGAAGTATGTCTTCCTCCCCAAGAAAATTCCAAGCTGGTCCTATCTACCTTTTTCGCTTCTTTACAAAAAACAGCAGCTGAGTATCTGCTCCCAAGGAAAGAGTTATAACTGGGGTGAATGGAAACACAAAGCTCAGCCCTCACCTTCCCACCAACCCGATGTCTGGTGTAGCGAACCCCCATTTGTCTAAAAAACGTGTAACACCAAGCACACTGTAGCACCCCAATCCCAGAGCAGATTTTGTTTTGCATTTGTCCTTATAGCTGACATGGTTATGGCCGTAATCACAGCAAACATACAACAAAGATTTCTGGTATTTTTACTTCTAAAGTAAAATCCCATCTCCCCCACCTCTACCTCTCCGTGATTCCAGTTGCTCTAACGATTACCTAATATTTCACCATGAGGAAGTGCCATCATTTACTGAAAACCTCTGGGAAACTCTTTTTCTAAAAGGAAAGATAGGCTGGGGTGGCAGGATAGCTCAGTTGGTTAGAGCATGAACTCTGAACAACAGGGTTGCCGGTTCAATTCCCACATGGGCCAGTGAGCTGCGCCCTCTACAGATAAGATTGTGAACAATGGCTCAACCTGGAGCTGGCTACCACTGAGTGGCCAGCGGCCACTGTGAGCTGCCATGAGCCACCATCCGACGGGCAGCAACCAACTGCCTCACCCGGGTAGAACGCAATGATCATAATACCAACATGGGTCAGTGAGTTGCATCCTCCACAACTAGACTGAGAACAACGGCTCGACTGGGGGGGGGGGGGGGGATAAAGAAGTAAAAAGAAAGGAAGGCAATGGAGTAAACTTCAGTGTCTTTAAGGCCGATGCAGGGAGGAGCCACCCGGCTGACACCAGCACACCCAAAACAGTATGAAACTGGAGAGAGAGAACGGCAGCGTTGAACAGAAAAGGCACAGTGGGGACATTAGACAATGGCTGGGACTTGGTGACTTTCACAGACTCATACAGATCATGGTGAACAACCCAGGAAGGATGTCTGGTCAGAGAGATGGGTTTTGCTGGATCCCATGACACATAAAATAAGGGTAAACAAGTTCTGGTTAATAATGAGGGCAGATCAGTTATTTTTAATGCTCTCTAATTTATTTCCTTCTCAAAGCCAAAGTGTTCCACATAAAAAGTTCCTGAGGAAGTTAGGTTTTCTGGCAGCGCACAGCTCAAACAAGAGCCTTGCACAGGCCGGAGTGGCGACAAGTCGGTTCCTCCCTGGCGGACGCTGGCTGTAGTCCGAGCGTCCAGGTGCAGCCGCACACAGCGGGGCATGGAGGTCAGCTGGAGAAAAGGCCACGGCCTGGGACTGCTTAGAAACCCACCCCCCTCCCGGGGACAAGTTCCAGGGAGGTTACATTCCTCTCCATCTGAGGATGCTTCCTCCAGGCAGCTCTGGCTTCTCAAACAGGAAGGGGAAAAGGTCCCAAGGAGGAAGGGGACAGGAATAGCCTCAGACAGTGAGTCACAAGCTTGGTGGGGGGGAAGTCCTGCCCCTCAGTACCCACAGCACCCAGGGGACTGTGGCCGCCTGCATGGCCAGGACTAGAGAGGCTGAGCTTCCCAGGGGAGCAAAGAACAGGGATCCTGGGGGAGGGTGGCCGTGGAGACAGCTGGACTTCCCGCCCAATCCAAATTGGGGGAGGGCACGTGGAGAGCAAGCCTGGACTGCCAGGCAACCATGAGCAGGCAGAGCTACACTGACCAGAAACAGGGGGGCCCCTCCATGGCCTCTGTGCCCCATGTCCCCTCTAGCCTGGCTCCCAAGCAACACAGACTCACACCAGGAAAACACGTGCTCTATCAGAGTGATGCCATGGGCGGTACTTACGGCTTTCTGAAGGGAGTCAATGAGGTTCTGCAGGTCAATGTCATCCCGGTAGGATCTGATGTTGCTCTCAAAGAACTCCCGGAACCGGTCTCTCACCCAGTCCTGGAATAAGAAGGCCAGCACGGCCACGGCCAGCTCCAGGAAGAAGATGAGCACAATGGCGCCACAGAACTGCCGGGGAATGAGGGTGGGAGCGGGAGTCACCACACCGCCAGCCCCACAGCCAGGTGCATAGCCTTGTCTGACCCAAGACCCACACTGGAGCCCTGCAAAGCCCACGTCATTAGCTGGGCGACTCTGGGCAAGTTCACCTCATCTGTAAAAGGAAGATATTCAATCCTACCCACACCACTGCATTGTTGGATTAAGAGTCAAATAAGCTGAAGTATAAGAAAACTCCAAGCCAACGTATCAACCACCTCTTATGAAGTGCTCTCCCCAACCAAGAAGGAAACCCCATCACAGGAATGAAGGACTATGCCAGCCTACCAGGCTCTCAGCTCCTCAGGGCAGAGCCTGCGGCCCAGACACTATCTGACCACTCTGCTTGCACACACAGCCATCTGAGTGGCTAGAAATCTAACCTGTCACCTCCACTCCGGGATAAGGAAACTGAGGGGTGTGTAGCTTGCCTGAGGTCGCATAACTCATGCATGATGTCTGAGCTCCCAGGTAGGGCTCTGTACAACTCTGCAGTGGTCAGTGTTATCAGTGCCCACGCTGTATGTAAGTATACGACAGTCAACTGCACAAAGCACTCTCCAGGAGCACAGCTGCCCCAGCCACCGCAGAGGTGGCCTTCTGCAAGGGCCCACACAGCCACAGGTCCACACCCTCCCTCCCACTGAGGCCGACTTCCGGCCTGCAGAGGTGGGTTCCCACCACCATAATCACCGTCCATATAGCAGCCTAAGATGGGGTAACATACACATGCACACACACATGCAAACATACACACACACAGGGCCCTCCAGAATGGAATCTCCATTCACACAGCAGCAAGATACTAAACACATTTTTAGGAGATTAAAAAATTAGGGGAAAAAAAAGCATGTGTTTTGCTTTTTAAGTTAAGCCCAGGAAAGAGGAAGCTTGATCTAAAAAATTCAACAAATAATATACTGGGAAACACGATTATGTGTTTTCCCCATCAGGTGCTATTTAATTTTAAGTGAATGCTTTTCAAAATGAAATGTGTTATCTAAATATAAAACTAAACTCTTGGTAACTTGCAGTTCTGCCAGCAAATTAAGCATTCTGCACTGCACATCCAACACACCCTGGAGGAGGGAAATTATTTCCTAACGTTACTGACAATATCTTTTGATCTTAGCCAGGAAGGGCAAAAGTGAGCAGCAAACAAACAATTTCTTTAGAACTTGGGAGGGAAGATAAAACGCAGGGGTGGGGGTGTGGGGGGGTGTGGAGCTGGACTAGGAGCAGCCAACTCCTCCCACTGGGAGCTGGAAACCAGAGGGGCCAACTTGTCTTTCTCTGCAGGGTTGAGAAGCGAGCTCAGCTGATTGTTTCCTGAAATCTTACCATCTGATGCAAGGGCTGCCCCCTTCCCACACTGCTGGGGCCCAGGGAAGCTTGTTAAGAGCAGCTATCTGTTCCAACCGGATAAGGTATAAGCCTGCCCACCCCCACCCCCACCCCTTCCTGTCTCCTCCAGTCCCATCCCTGGGGCCACTCACAAACTTGAGCAGGCAGATGTTCTCCCGCAGGGCCCCCACGCAGCCAGCAAACCCCAGTGTGAACATCACCACGCCCACCATGAGGACCAGCACCACAGGGTCAATTCCATGCAGTCGGGTCACTTTGGTGAGGTCGGACAGCACCCCCTGAAAGAAGCAGAGACAGCAGGGCGGGGTAAGCCTCAGAGCCAAGGTGCCCTGAGGAACTGGGCTGTGTCCAGAACTAAACTGAGGAGGGCAGGGACCTGCGCCGAGAGGCTCAGTCTTCTCATGAAAAAGCCAGGAGAGAGTGTGGCCGCTGCCCCTTTCGAGGCCCCTCTGCCCAGCAGCTCCTCACCCACCTCAGCCCCCAAGGCCTTCACATGCACCATTCCTGATCTCCATCTGGGTGTGAGTGTCCCCCCCCACCCCCCGAGACAGACCCCACACTTGTCCTGTGCCAGGCCTGGGTGGAGCGGGCCCTGTGCCACAGCCTCACCCTGGCCTCTGGACACCTGGTGGCTGTCCATGCACTCAATTCGTGAAGAGCACCACTGTCCTGAGATGAAAATGGCTTCAATATGAACATTCTTGTGGAAAACACACCCACCAGGGGCACACAAAGGCAGCGCTGCCTGTAAGACATTCTGCGATGATGGGGGGGGGTCAACATGTGCCCCGTCCAAAATGGTAGCCACTGGTCACAGGTGCTACTGAGCACCTGAAATGTGGCTAGTGAAACTGAGGAACTGAATTTTAATTTGTATTTCACGTCAATTAAGTTAAATATAAGTAGTCTCATGTGGCTAGTGGACAGAGCAGTTCTACAGGAATCTGAAGAGAGAGGAGAGAAAACAGCAACCAGACCAGGCAACCCAGCAGGGACCAGGGAGGCTGGGGTAGCCAGCCAGGCCTAAACGCAGGGCTCTGCGGGTTGGACTGCTGCTGTTCTGGAGGTGGCCACGCGATGGTGCTATGAGTCATGAATTGAACTGGCTTCCAGGCCCTAGCCAAGCGACGTCCCTTCTAAGGGTGCACAGGCCCCCCTTTGAAGGTGCTTAAATCCAAAAAACGGGTCTTATCCAGTTCCTAAGGCCATGGCAAGAAAGCCCACAGGTCTAACAGCTCCGGCCTCCTCTTTCTGGAAGCAAAGGGAGGTTCTGTTGAAGAAACAGGACCCTGGGCCTGAGGCTCAAGAGGAAGCTTTAGTTCCCACTGTTTCCTGCCTGGCCTGTTACCCTGTTCCTTCTCTCCCTGCCTCCTCCTCCCTCCCTGTTCAGCCCTTACCACCCACCGAGCCACAAAGCCAAAGGTGGCACCACAGTTTCATCCTGCCCACACCCAGTGTAGTATCCTCCCTGGAGTTCCAGTCACCCATTGTCCTTCCAAACAGGAAGAGCCTGGCCTCCCCTCCTCACCTGTCCTCCATGGGCTGGGCAAGGAGGTGCACAGGTAAGTAAACCTACCCCTGCCCCACAGGGCACCCAGGGGCCCGTAAATAGCCCTACTGCCTGATTCTGGGGTTCTTTATGTGGGCAAGGACAAGAGCTTCAGGAATACACCCAGGGGCACAGGCAGAGTCAGGATGGTGGCCCCAGGCCTGCCCTGGACACAGCTGCACACAAGCCCCAGGGCAACTTGGAGCTTCTGGGAACAGAAACCAGGGCTGTCCACACTCACAGAGCTCCAAGCCCCAGCCAGCCCAGCCCCAGCCTCTAGCAGCGACCCTTGCATGGGGAAGCACAGCGGGCCACAGGACCCCAGGAGCTTCGTGGCAAGTTCAGTAACTACTTCCCAAAGCTGGCTCTGTCAATATTAATGATGACATATCACTACCTTGCAAAAGAAATGCTTGTCCAGGAGGAGACTGGAGAAAGAAGGGACAATTGAAGCTGAATGAACCTGGTTCTGGCTATCCAATGCTCAGGGTCCTAGTGACAGTTACACCTACCTTTTCGCTCCATGCCCACAATCCGGCTCCGAGGAAGGCAACACCAGCCAACTGAGCAGGGGTGGGGGTGGGGGGCAGAGAGAGAGAGAGAGAGAGAGAGAGAGAGAGAGAGAGAGAGAGAGTTAGGTTGGAAACCAGCACCATAAATGCACTTCTTAGAGGACCAGCACCATAAATGCACTTCTTAGAGGGTCCACACTGCTAGGCAGGGGGTGTCAATGGCCTGTGTCCATGCCGGGTAGAGCAGGGGCAAGGTGGCCCCTCAGCCTCTGCAGATGACAGGGTCTGTAACCCAGAACAAAGGGACAGCAAGACTCTTCAGATAACCCACGCTTACCTTCTCTGAATGTTTGGATAAACTCCTTCAACCCCACCCAACCCCATGCAGAGGCAAAGATCTCAGAGCACACCATCCTGGAGACTATAGAGTCAGAGAAGTCAGGCCATGCTCTGTTTCTTCCCCATTCTGCAACCTCCCTGCCCCCCAACTCATTTCAATGCACTGTCTGGTGTATAAGAAGACATCGCCACTTGTGACAGCTGCTCGGCACAGCTAAGGCTCGGCATAGGAATGGGCACCGCTGTCAGGGGCACAGAGCTCAGTGCCACCTCTGCCGCCCACCTCAGGTCTCCAGCCCTGGAGACACACCCAAGCACACACAAGCTGCTGTCCAGGCATTTGCTGGCCACGGCTGGGCCTCCTCCCTGTGGCTCCTACACTGCACACAGGGCATACAGGTGCTCGGGATATGCTGGGTTATTCGTCACTACATCAAAACAGGCCTATGCTAAGCAATGCTCACCCCAGACAAGCAGTGACCCCCCAACCCAGACTTCCCATCCACAGTCAGGGCCAGGCTGCCTCGCCTGCACCACCACATCACAACACCACAATACACCACACAGATCCCTGAACCAGGGAGGATTTTTGCCATAAAACAGAACCCCTCATGGTCTCTGCAAATTGCACAGCCTCCTGTTGTTCTGTTTCACTACTTGATACCACGCCACACTGAGCTGCCATATATCAGTACTTCATGATAAATAACAGGGCGACGTGTCTCTATGGCTCTCAGCTTCCCTAAGTATTCTCAAAGCTTCAGGACAGTCTCGTCTGCTTCGTTCACTGCTAGGACCACGAGGCTGGAGTGGGAAACAAAGGCCCTTGAAAGAAAGCCCCGGAGTTCTCAACCTCTTTTGCAACACAAACCGCTTTCAGGAAATGTGTGCATGCCCAGTATTTTGGACATAATTTCAGAGGGTTCAGACTTCTCATGGCTGGTTCCCACACAGCCTGTGGACCCCAAGTGAAGAAGCCCTGCCCTGACCTGATCCCTCTGTTTTACAAAGCGGAACACAAGACCTCAGAGGACCAAGACCAAAATGCCAAGCAGTGGCGGAGAGGAGGCCAGATCCCAAGTCTCTGTTTAATTCATTCATTCCCCCCTTCATTCACCAAATACTGACTGGGTGCATCCTAAGTGCCAGGCACCATCTCAAGCTCTGGAGCCAGCCCTGAGCCGTACAGGCAACACCCCTAGACCGCGGAGCTCCCGCTCTAAGGGGCCCGCACAGGGTCCTTTCCACCACACACACTGACTGCCCGCTTTTAAGTCCTCCAGTGGTCAACTACTTGACGAAAGTCTGTTTTCTTGACGAGGCGCATGACCACTTCCTCTCCCCAGTGTCTCACGCTGCACAGAAAGCAAGCCCAAAGGTGACCAGTCACTGTCTGCTGATGTCATCCGACACAGCTCATTCATTTCCTTCTCGACCAACGCACTCAGCTTTGGGGCCACAAAGCACATCCTCAGGCTGTCTCCCACACTCCCTGTCACTCCTCAGTCCCTTCTGTTGGCTCATCGTCCACTTTTAGAACCCTCTAAACGCTGGTGAGCCTCACTGCTCCAGCCTGGAGCCCACCCGCCCTCCCCGAGCCCTCCAAATGACCTCATGACTCATATGACTTTAAAGTCTATCTATACTGTATACTGCCAGCTCTGAAATCCAATTCTCCGGCCACAGCTGCTCCTGAGTCAAACACCCTAATGTCTGCTTGCTCGTCCACCTGAGCGATCAAAGCACAACATTTCGATCTTAACATGGCCCCAAATGGAGCCTTGGTCTCTCAGCCCCCAACCAATTCCTCCCCAACTCTTCCTTCCCGTCTCATTAAATGGTGCCACTGTACAGCTACTCAGTCATTTAAGACAGAAAACCCAGCCTCATGCTTGATGCCTCTCTTTCCCTCTCTCCACATTCGCCTCACCAGGGCCCTCTGCTGACTCTACCTGCAAAATCTGCAGCGCATTTGGCCCCTTTTCTTCCTGACTCTGTTCCCATCCCTTCAGGGGCCTCAACTTGGCCTCCTCACAGGTCCTCAAGTAACTAGAACAATCCTTTAACATAAAGATCAGATAACTCCACTCCTTCAAACCCACCAATGACTTCCTTTTACACTCAGAATATAATTCAAACTCCTTGCCACAGCCCACAAGGGCCTACGTGGCCAGGCTTTGGCCACATCGCCAATCTCATCTCCTATCCATCTCCCCACTCCAACCCTACTCCCAGGCCACCCTGGCATTGTTACTAGTTCTTGAACTCACCAAACTCATCCTGCCTCAGCAACTTGACAGTATTCCCTCAGCCTAGAATGTTCTTCCTCCATAGCCCTTCCTGCCTTTCTTCCTCACTTCATTCCAGTCTCTGCAAATTTCACCTCCTCAGAGATGCCTTCCTCTACTACTGTCCTAGGAGGACAGTCCCCCCCCCACCCCCGCTCCCCCCCCATCACTCCTGATCAGCTCCCCTGCTTGATTTTCCTCCGGGCCACACGAGCTGTCTGCCTGTCTGTGTCTCCCCTACTTAAGCCCTCTGAGGGGAGGGGTATTCTCTCTTTTACTCAGGATTGTATCCCAAGAACTTGGAGAAGAACTTGCCCCCACAGGGACAGAATGGGCACAAATGAGTGAGGCACCCAAGCTCCCAGGCCAGGGCGGTCTTTGCCTGGGATCCTCCCTGCTCTCCTCTCAGGCACACTCATCCCCGGGTCTAACTCAATCCAAATGCATTCAAATCAAGAGGGCCAAGCAAAAGCCCAGCCTAGCCCAGCTCCAAGGCCAGGCCTACACAGCGACATGAGGGCCAGAGCAGGACCGGGCCTGGAGGCTGTCCATCCCTATCCCCTATCCAGTGTCCCCAATAAGCATTCCAGCACCTGCCTAACCACGTTCCGCGACAGCCCACCTGCCCGCCTGGCACCACGTGGGACGGAGGAAAGTCTGCCCCTTGGGAACCCCTCACTGAATTACAGTTCGCTGGAGCCACCAGCCCCCCACCACTGAGCACAGCTCTCCTTCTCTCACAGGGACTAGGCTTTAAGGAGAAGGGCTCATGTTTTTTTCCATTCTGTTTTAAAGGGAAGAACTAAAGTTACCTCGCACCAGAAAAGACAGGAACTGGGGGTGGGTCACATGCTAGATCATGGGTTCAATGAACACTGGCCCAGGGCACAAACTTTGGGGACCAACACTTGTTTTAGAGGCAAGCTGACTTGAGGGAAAGACCAGACAGGGGAAGTGACCTGTCTGGGTGCTCACACAACAGCCCCCTGAAAGAGCCCCGACACTCGCCAGCTTCACCTAGCTCCCATCAGAGCCTCTTCCTCGGAACTCTCTCGGGCAGACGGTCTGTGGGGCCTGGCTGTCCTCACTGGCTGCCAACCATCCAGGAGTGACAGTATAGCTAGGTGTCTTCCAGCTTCAGGGTAACCTTCGTCTCTTTTCTATAAGGCCCACAAAGCCCAAAGGGAGGCCAGCCTTGGACCATGGGGCAGGTCCACTGCAGCCGTCACCATGACAAGTGGCACCACCCTTCCCTGGGTGCCAGGTGCTGCATTAAACACCTAATACACTTAAAGAGGCCCTTCCATACCCATGGCACTGGTAACATTACCCCCACTTTTCAAATAAGAAAGCTCAGATATAGAACAATGTGGTTATTTGCCCCCAGGTGGCAGAACTAGGACCAAACCTGAGTGTCTCTGACCCTCCTGACATCCATTATCTCACTGCCCACAGGGCAGCCACCCAGGCCAGGAAGAAGGGCCAGTCACAGGGGCCAGGACGTGTGGGAGTTTCACAGAAGGGGCTTCTGGCCTGGGCGACTCTAAAGCCAACGGCCCCCACTGTCCACCAGGTGGTAAGGGTCAGTATGCCCATCCAGGGCAGGTGGCCAAGGGAGCGGGGCTTCTTTTTTGAGGGGAGTGGGGGGGAATTACCACTGTAAAAATTCAATATTGGCCTTTCCACCTAAGACAAAAGCCCCTATGAAAAAAGGTGAGAGGTCCTCCTGGGGCACACTGGGCTGGTCCAGCCCTACTTGTCCTAGGAGCCACATGTGAGCTCACCATGTGAGCAAGCCTGTGGTGCTTGACTCAGGCAGGTTCAAGTCACAACACAAGTGCAGACACCCAGCCAGGCCCTGCTGGGCCAGAGGGCGGTTCCAACACCAAGCAGGTCAAAAGCAGTCCCGTATCACCCACAATTTAGTGGCCCTGGCCCCTTGCAGGAGCACTTGTGTAAAAGCACTTATGCAATTCACACAGCCCCAGAGGCCTCTCCTCAGCAGGCACAAGGCAGACCACGAGCAGCAACGCAATACTTTCCAGCTCTGCCTTGCTGGCCAACTCTTGCAAACTCCCCCGCCAGATGCAGGATGCCATTCAGGGCCCCTTTCCCTGGGCCACCTATAGGAGCCTCAGAGAAAACCGGAAGGAAACCCAAGAACGAGTAAACCACTGAAACTCTGTCCAGGGCAGCGATGAACAAACGAACAGCCCTGGTCAGCCAGGCCTGGCTCCAGTCTCCACTCTGCAACTTCTAGCAACAGGACTTCATGCAATTCCAGGAACTTCTCTGAGCCTGTTTTCCTCGGCAAAATGGGGTGACCCTCCCTGCGTTGTAGGAAGATTGTAGGACTGAAAGAAGTATACCTGATGTACTTACTTACCCTGGGGCACAGAGCCATTCTGAGCGGGCCCTGCCCTC